TTGGTCGGATAATTGAAAAGTCGGGTAACCGAAAAATATGAAAAAATCTATTATTAGTGTAGTATATTATTATATCCTATGTAATTAGTAAATTAGTATATTAGTATATCGCTATTAACCTACTTCGCGTTGAACTTTCATCGATGTTAAGCTCAACAAAAATTTTTTAAAATAATAATCGTCGCTATTGTATCGTTAAAAATTAGAAAATTAATCCTCGTTTAAATACTGGCTCCCTTTCATGGTCGAATGAGTGTTGCCAGCTAAAACACGTAAAAATATTATTAAAGTAGCCAAGACATAGCCAAATATTGTAGCGCCACATCACTAGCGGACATTTGAAATTTGCCGACTAGGACGGTCGGTTAACAGAGATGTCGGTTAATCGAGGCTCTACTGTATCCGGTATCTGTCCATCTAGCAATATAAAGTAGATGATGTAACACCACCAATAGTAAGAATTAATACTACAGGAAGCACTTTCAGTGAAGTAAAAGTAGCAGCTGAAACGAAACTGATACCTTGCGTTCCTAAACTGAACGTATTATTTAAAACGCATTAAACCCTATCGGAGTTTCTTTGCTAGGTTCTGGAACAATTTGTTGAGTCCCTTCGACAGATGACATTTGAATAAAATAAAATCTCGATGTTAGTGAAAAACTTAGTGAAAGATTCCACGAAGCTATTTCAACCATGGAAAACATACAAAGTTGCATGGATCCACTGTTTCCCCGAAAATAAGACAGTGTCTTATATTAATTTTTGCTCTGAAAAACGCGCTAGGTCTTATTTTCAGGGAATGCCTTATTTTTTCCAGGAAGAAGAATTCACATTTATTACTGAACAATAAAATTCCCAAGTCGGACTTAGACGACAGTGACGTATATCCGGTGTGTCGAACTGTCGCCTTTTTATAGCGTCAACATCGGACTCGATGACCAATTAGTGCTTACTGAACCGTAGCACTACGCAAATGTCATGTGGCGTAATTCCCGGCCGACCAATTAGCCATCCCCAGCCGTAACGTTATGCAAATCTGTGATTCCCAAGCCATAGTCTTATGCAAATCATGCCGGGTGGCGTAATTGTCTGCTGACCAATCAGTGGCTGTACTTTCAAAAAGCCAACGGCCACTTTCAACCATCTGTCGATGACCGTTATGACTAAAAAAAAACTTTGCTAGGTCTTACTTTCAGGGGGAGGTCTTATATTTCGCAATTCAGCAAAACCTGTACTAGGTCTTATTTTCTGCGGATGTCTTATTTTCGGGGAAACACGGTAGTGATGCTGCTGGTTTCTGTAAGAGAGTTAGCAGGACTAAAAAACGAAATCAATAAACGATCATTATTTTTAAAGTTAAATTTATGTAAACTTTTAAAACGCTTGCATGTGTTTCCGGTTTAATGTGTTTAAAAACATTGCACAGTACCACACGTTACAGTATAATTATTACGGATCATTTTGCAGAATCAGCTGCTTTTGGTGCAAGGCTTTTGTTATCCTGCAGGATTCCACATAAAAATGTAGATTCCCATTCTGATATCTGCCTACCTATCTTATATATATATATATATATTTAAATGTACAATTATATTATGAAAAAACTTATTCAGAAGCATTATTTTACTTAAATGTTTAATAAAAAAATATATATAATAGACAAAAATACAAAACTATATCATCTTATTTATATAGAATATAGATCAAAGCACTACATTAAACTTTGTGCAACAGCTTTTGGACTTGCTGTTACTACATTTATTCTGACACCTTTACCACTCATTTCGAGTTCCAGGAATATCAACAGTAGCAATTCTTATAGCCATCACTTCTGTGTATGCACAGCATTGCTTATAAGACAATCCACACATCACATTTTACACGCAAAAAGATTTATAATAATGTTCTTTTCTTGCTTTTTTGGTTTGACATCATTTAGACTTAGTTGCATAAAGAATACAATGCTTGTGTTTCAATGTTCTGATCAATAGTTCTCAAGATATAAGCCAAATTAATGATAAACTCATGTCCAAAAATAAGCATTGTATAAGAAAGTCAACTTTGCATTATATATTGAAAGAAAGTGATTTGTTTGGTCATCGAAATTGAATTTAAAGCTGCAAGAATTACCCAAACTGATTTTGTGGAGATATTGCTACTTGAGAACAATCCATCAATACCATGAAGAATATTTAATATCTAAATGAAACATTCATTAATGCTGATCATATGATTTCCATAGGTTGAAACAATATCGTAAAATTTTATCAAGATAAATTTCTTCAACGGTTGTAAACTGGATTAAAAATCCAAATGGTCATGGTAAATGCATAATCTGTATCCATATAGGCAGCAAAAGTGGATTTTTGAATGTTCTCTTACTTTTTACTTCAAATAGCAATTGTGATCATTAAGAAATCAATGGTTCCTGCTTCAAAACATTACACTCATTCCAAGTGGTTCTACTTGTTACAAAAAGTGAGAATTATCACATCATTTGCTCTGAGGATATGCCCACATATTCATAAAAAAAATCAAAAGTGACTGTTTAACTGAAAAAGGATCATGGTAACTAGAACAATTGAACAATCATTCATCATACTGGTGTGAGAATTAAGAACCTAACCACAAAAACGGTAGAAGACGGTAGAAAACGTTTGTTTTTAAATTGAATTTTGCTGGTATATTGGTAATTTTGTGGTTAGGTTCTTAGAACAATTGAAACAGGAAGTGTTGGATATAGTGAAAATAGAGAGCTGAAGTACTTGAATTATTGATGACATGGCTTAAAACAGCAGATGACGCTACTGCATCTACCATGTTATGGAGAACTTAGCTAGCATAGTCAGATCAAGATTGTACATCACAATAAAATATTCAAGTTGGATGATGTCAGAATTTTATTTGAAAAGGGTATAATAAATACTGTTGACCACATGAGCCTCATCTTTTCATCATGTTGAGATAAAGCTTTAATTTTGAAAATTAAACTTTTCTTCTGAAGACATCATTTTGGATCCATTTCTCATTACTGTAATGTGGACACATCAGACTGATAATTAGGAATGGAACCAAACAGGATTGGATAATGATATTTATCGATGATAAGGAAAACTTTTTGTTACAGTTGCCAATTAAAACCTTGTTTATTCTGTTTGTTAAATATTATACTATTAACTTAAAATGAAAATGAACAATTATTATTATTTGGAAAATACACTTTCAATAATAAAAATAATAATTTATACATTTCATTGTCTTCAAAATTAAACAAAATCTAAAACTATTGTTTTCATACAATTATAGTTCTAATGTCAAACATTTAAGTCAAACAATGCTTGGCTATAATGAAATGATACAAATTCAAAATGTACATCCACTCCATACTTATTCTGGAAAACATCTACAACAATTCATTCCTTTTTTAAATATACCACTCACAAGTTTTACATTCGATATCTAATACATGGACACGAATTTAATCAATAAAAATTTTTGAGTCATTCTTAAAGCATTTTTGCAGAATAATTATGTTATATCTTTTGTTATTAATTTTAAGTGATTTCATCAAAATCTATCCCAATAATTTGTTACTGTTTTAAGCAAAGAACAAATGGTGAAAATAGAAGTTTCAATATGAGAATATATCTGAAAAATGTAGCATGCGAATTAAAATAATAAACAAAATTTGATGATTAATCAAAATTGTTTTTTAATATACTGCACAAAAACTTTGATATAAAAAAAATTGAAACAGTATTTTAAACTGAACACAAAACATTTTACATATAATCAAATTAGCCATATGAAAAAATTCAGATAGCATTGATTTTTACCGATAAAAGTCACAATATTTACTCCTACATATTGATATATTCAATACAATGCACATTACATCATAAGTAGTTTGTTATTTTTGTCTCAAGATGAATTTTCTTGGTTAAAACTAAAGCAAGAAAATGTTCAACTTTACGGAACTGATATACAAAATACAATGACCAACAAATACTATTTACGAACAATCACGACATGCAAATGTCTTATTTTATTCACAACAGTACTATGTTCTATAAAGGCACAATACATATCAATTGATAATTAAAACTAAAACTAAGAACACCATTCATAAAGCCAATGGTAAATTTATATCAATATCTGGTTCCATACACATTTAAAAAAGAAAGACAAAAGCAAAAATGTATATAAGAATGTATTATTTTATAATTGTAAAGAAAAAAAAAATTATTATTTTTCATTTTTAATTAAATTTTAAAAACAAAAATATGAATTAGACTCAAGACAGGATTATTTCTAAAAGTACATTTTAAAAATTATAAGATATATCAATTTTTGGGTATTGATTATCAAACTTTCTGTTTAAGATAGCATATTTTAGTTAAAAACCTCAGTGTTGAAGCATGATACACTTCAATATACAATGGCTGTAGATAGCTTCATTAATATGTTAAGATTATATAATATAAATGAGTTATTAGAATATGCTTCTAAAACATTTCAAAGAAACTCCAAAAAAACAGTAAGAGCACCATTATTTCCCATTTAGCACCAAATTGAATAGAACAGTGAGGAAATTCTTGAAATTTAAAATCAAAATTCTTTCTAAGAATACTTTTGACTTTAAAAAATACAATGTATAAATCACAAAATGTCAGGAACTGCCGTATTTAATTTATCTGGTCATGGTATAAATTTTTTTCCATAAGAATTATATGGAAGTTAAGGATTAGTTAGCTAGAAAATAAATCAAACATAAAAACATTATAATTTTAGTAAAAACAGATTTAAAAACAAATCAAGTATTTATTAAAAGGAAATGAAAATTACTATGGATATTAAAGTAATAACATTAAAATCAGTTAAACCAGAAATAATAATGAAAAGCTCTAGTAAAATTTTTGAAACTATAAAAATATTTTTGTTATTTTGAAAATTATATTACATATGATTTTTAAAAAATATTAATTAATAAACTTAAATTTAGGATTTTTAGTAATCAAGTTCATTAATTAATTAAAGATAAATTATGATAAGTGGATACTATCACAATTAATGTATTAATTTTTTGTATATGTAATCTTTTAGAATTTATCCTGTTTTCAGCTCTTTCATTTGAATCAAACTTTTTATACTAACTGAAAAATCTAGCTTTAAAATTGGTTCTACAACTATAAAATAAACAATTCCTATACATATGTATTTTTGTATTCAGTTATTCTTTTAAATAAAACAATTAAAATTTTGGTGGAAAAATACTTAGGATGAGTTTACAATCAGACATATCACTTCTTACATGTATGGAGATGTTAAAATAAGAAGAAAAAAATAGTATAGGACATTGGTCAAAACAAAAACAGATGAGTTGTGTTAGGAAAAAATCAAACATTCAGGATGAGTTAAAATTTCAATGCTAATGATATTAGGTATTTACAATGACATTGCTTGGAGAAAATTTTCAATTAAAACTTCCCTGGTTCTATTTTAATTTAGATAAAAGTAACAATGGTTATGATTCTTTTTCAGTTTTATCTTCTTCTTCTTCATGAGCAGTGTTAGTATGCCATGTTAACCTTTCTTCATAAAACTGGATAACAATCTGTGGACATTTAACATTTGCAATTCTTGCAGGTACTAAATCTGCTTCATCACTTCCTTTCCTTTAACAAATAAATATGAAAATATTAATAATGATATGATACATTACTTACTATTTAATTATTATTGATACAAAAATGTTCAAACTTATACAAAATTAACTCAATAAACTTTTACTAAATTTTAACTCATTAATGAACTTTAAAATTAACAATGAACTTCAATTTTATTTAATTTTAACTTAACTTTTATTTAAAATTTTACACAAATATGAAAGAAAATAATAAAGCATAACACTAGTTTATAAATTGAATATTTTATTAACAACCAGAATTGAAAGTCCTTTTGTAATTAGCACAAAAAGTTGATCTAGAAAACTTTTCAGTTTATCTCTATCACACACAGATTTTAAGTTATGATTTTTGGAAAAAAGTTCTGAAAATTACACAAATGGTAACACAGTTCTATAATCATCCAGTACAAAAAGAAACTGATATGCAATAAAAACTGAAACTAATAATAATAATTATAATAAAACCAAGGAGAAGTGTATTACAATGAATTAAAGTTTAATATATTTCTAATAAGATTGCAATTTTCTGACTTTGCTCTTTCTCCCAAATTTCTCTATTTTGCTGCACAGCCTCAATCTTATTTTTCCCTATACTGATTACATATTATTTACATCTCTACTTTTGTTAAAGTTTTATTTGATATATGTATGAAATTTTATTAGTATATTTAAAAAAATTTGCCAGTTAACAATATTTTTGTTCTGAAAATGATATGTTTAAAGCAACAGTTTCAGGAGAATTTGTTTTGATTTAATGACATTTTAATCACATGGCTTTGATATGTTCATCATGTCAAGGTAATTTCAGTTAGAGCAAATAACAAATAATTTTAATTACTACATAATCAAACCACTCATATTTTGAATAAAAAATTACACTTGTATCCAAAAGTTAAGCAACAAAGTGAAAAATTAGCATATTTGGCAAAAGAAACAATGTGTAGCCAAAAAAATTTGCACACACGATAAGTGTATATGTTACTGTGAAAGACCGAAATTAGAGAATGTCGATATTCTCCAGTGAATGTTAACACATACAAAATATGTCGGTGAAAGACCGAATATTTGGTTATATTATTATACATTCGAACAATCGCCGTGTATGTTGACAAGTACAGATAAGCTTTAGTGGAGGTCGAAATGACACCCGAAAAGCCGATGTCGACAGAGAGGCGACAGTCTGTCGCCAAATCCTTTGTGGGTAGTCAGAGGTAAGACAAGATCGTACCTCTTTTCCTGGCAATGGTTTGGTGGAAATAGCCCACTTTGTCACTAAATGGTGTTTTTGTTCTTTTGATCCTGTGAGGTGGGGATCGGTTAGTCAGGTTGAGTAACGGAGGATGAGAGGGGGTCATCGGTAAAACGTCGTCAATATCTGAATAAAAGACACCATTAACAGATCAATTCGTAATCACGTAATCAGTTCGTAATTTGTAAAGAAAAGTTACTTTTCATAGATGAGATTTCTTCTCAAGAAATATCACTGAGAGAAGCAGTTACAGCTAATTCGAAAAGTGGAGGGTAAGGCTATACAGTAGACCCCACTATAACACTGTAGATAATTCCGTGTTATATGAATTCCATGTTGTACAAGTCACTTAGATTTTACAAATACATGTGCTGGACTGTGAACGTATCATGTATTTGTAAAATCTAAGTGACTCGTACAACATGGAATTCATATAACGTGGAATTATCTACAGTGTTATAGGGTGGTCGACTGTACACGCTGTTTTTGCAAGAAAAGGTGTTCCACGAATAAACGCAGTTGTAAAAGCAAGGGACTCAAAGTGCCATAACAGTTTAAGTTATTGCAATAAATATGATTGTACAATGTCAATCACATAATTTATTTGTAAGTTTATTATTGTATTTTCTTTAATGATTTAGAATGTACTGTTCATTTTACGTTCAACAGTTTTTTTACATGTGCCGTTACTTAAGCTTTCTCCTATTTTGACATATTAAAAAGTTGCATTTTTGTCTTAACGTAATAAAAATATTTTTATTCAACGTTCACCATCAGTGCATGCTGAATGTCGACATTTGCCGGTGTAAGTGAGAAATAATGATATTTAGCAAATATTTCATACATACACGAAACGACTGTGTGAATGCTGACATTCACCTGAGAATGTTGACATTCGCCAGATATCGGTCATTCACAGTAACATATACATGAGGAAACTAGTCCACAAAAAATTTTGCATAGCAACATTTTTAAGAAGGAAATGTGGCAGGTATAAAAATGGCCTGTTTTGTTCAGAGCATGTATCTCAACTTTATGGAACCCAGAAGGAAACTCTAGATATCTACTCATTTTTCAAAATTTGGCTATCATCATCTGAGTGCCAACAGGTGATGAGAGGCAATAAGAAGTTTCAAAGGGGACCAGCAACAGTCAGAAGTAATCCAATTCCTAAATTTCAATAGCTTCTGTAATTAGTCACCTGTGGAACCAACATCAAAGTGAAGGAACAATATTGCAAAGACTAGTAAGTGGACACCCAAGAGTCTCAACTGCTCAAGATGACCATTTTCTATGTCTACAAGCATGATGCTACAGATCAATCACGGCACATCAGCTTGCTTCAGACCTTGCAGCGTCAACAGAAAGAGCAGTATCTCAGCAAACTGTTTACAGATGGCTACATGAAGGCAAGCTGTATGCAAGACAATCAGTAGTTTGCACCTCACTGATGCCCTCGCACAAACAAGCCTGGTTAAACCAAACCAAAGATCACCTCAACTGGTCACAACAATGAGATGCTGTGCTTTTCCCCCCATGATTGTGTTCTCTTTAGAACAATTTTTAATTTTTAAATTATTTTTGTTGAATTTGATATTCTTGTTCTTTTATTTTAAATGGTGTAATTCACTGAGAAAGGACTATTGTATGAGGTCAAAAACGTTATTATTTATTAAATCTACTGCTGATGTTACAAGGTATTCTGTTTCACTACTGTTTCTTATTCTCCAGTTAGATTTTATTTATTTATTATTATAAATACATACACTATAAAATTCATTTACCATTTTATTAAAAACATTAGTTCTCCACTTGAATCAGTTGCTCCAATCACCCGTTCTGGTTCAAGTCCTCTATCAAAACCTCTTGGTCTATTATCTTCCTGTAAATACAATTAAGACTAACAATATATTAAATTTATCAATCGGTATTAATGGAAACAGAATAATTTAATCTAAAATGATTAAAAATATATTATTACCAGTTAAAAATTCAGCATTTGGTACTTTATTAGTATTCAACGCGTGATGGTGAATGGAGCTTTAAGTAATTCGGTTAAAAGGAGAAGCCTGATTTACAGGATTGGCTCTGATTTCATTTTAATGATTTGTGATGCGTATCCAAAACAGATCGTTTCTGACGAATGTTTACTTGTATCCAGTACACTTGTACTAACGGTTTTGATCTTTAAATTTTGATGCGATAAAGTGCATTTCATGGTATTGAAAGACTTTCACTCATACAAAATAATGCCATATAATTTCACGAGTAACTCCTGTTTATAAATAACTTTAAAATTAATTATTTNAATATAATATTTTCTGTATATAAAGAAATATTTAAAATTAATGCAAGCTTTTCCCACTTTTAATCAAATATCATTTTCATTAAAAAAAAATGAAATCAACCAATCTGTTATGACTTATTTCACTTTCTGGTAGTTTCACTTCTGATCTATTGACAACTTTTTGCTTGAGCCAACACAAAGTTTAAAGTAAATGCTAGTGTTGTTGAAAATTTGACCAAATTTTTCTAAAATTTATCAAATTTACAATTTATCAGTAAATTGTAAATCAAATCTGAACCTTATGTTTGTTAAAGAAAAGTTCTGTTTACAAACACTTTATATTTAATATAGTCCAAATTTCCCCAATGACCATTTTAACATAAAATACACTTGTAAATAATAATGTAAATATTTGACATACATATTTAGATGAAAAAATCCATTACAGTTATTGCCAAGATGTAAGTAGCAAATAGTACTCAACTGACTTGTACTTGAAAAATAAAGCAAATATGAAACAGTGCCAGGGGCCACACAAAAACAGATGACTACAGATTACTAAAATATTATTAAAATAGTAATTTAAGTACATCTGTAAAATACGTAAGTGTGAGAAACTGGGAGCTGCTTTATTATAATTTCTAATGGAAATTCATGTTATTAAAAACTTTTCTATGTTCCCATCCGTTTCGCACGGAATTAGGAAACAGACAAGTAGGTGTTAGTTTAATAAAGAATCGACTAAGAAACTTATGTTAAAAGAGGGGGTCTTTGATGCAACAAGTCCCTTCCCCCTCTCATTGATCTGAGAAAGTTTCAAAACTTAAACAATTTCACTGTGTGAGTCTGACAGCAAGTCAGATTCCCACTGCCCTAGCCATCTATGACACGCTGAAGGTGTCATCACTATAAAACATAAAGTCACGAGACCAAATTCTCACACCAGAGAGGGATATAACTGTTGGATACCCAATCGTCAGGGTGGACATACTCAGAAGACGACAACACATTCATCCCACCATAGTCCCCAAGGATTACCTTTGTTTTTGGTGATTTGTGCGTCTTTCCAAATGTCTCTCAGTCCTCCACAGATAATTTCTCTCTGAAAACAACAGCCATTACGGCAAAGAGGTATGATAGTTAACTGATTTATGTAAACTCTCTCTCGGTTGACTTAAATCTTCAGTTTAGAGGCTGTATATATCCCATAAATATTGGATCGTACAGAGATGAGTGTGCTATACGTTATATGTATAATTGTAATCGTAACTAGTTATTGTACATCGCTTTATTTTCCTATTAATTAAAGTTATTTTTAGTTAAACTGGCAGTGACTCCAATTGTTCAAACCAGTCACCCTATTGAATTATCTTCAACCTCCCCACTCAACTGATAGCCATCCTAGCCATCCAGTGACCATGTGAGTGGGTTTTACCAACCCAATGCTGATCAAAGTGGTTTAGAGCTTTACTCTCTAACCCCCAGCTTCTCATACAAGAAAAGATGTTTTACATTTTATTCTGTGATATATATTAAAATGTTTTAATTTCTCCTGAAAAATGTAAATTATATGATGATATCAATGAAAATATTACAGTTTTAAGTGTTTTTATTTTCTATTATGATTAATCAGAAGTTATAATAATGTGTTCAAAACATTTAATACATTAGAGTAAATGTATTTATTTTCTGAATAATAATAATATTTTATCAACAATAGTAAAACAATAAAAGATATTTAGAAAATAATTATAATTTAAATTAATCTTTTTTCAAATAATGAACATAATACAGTAAAACCTCAATTTGACAAAATTTCCAGTCAGTATATCATATAAAATTTAACACCCTGTTAATTTTAAAATGTTTTTATACATAATTAAATTCACAGGTTTTTTTCCAAATCCAAGTCACTACTCAAAGTGTATTTTTCAAAAAATGTTTATTTATTTAGATTTAGATTGTATAATTGTTTACTAGTCTTAGAACAATAGTGAATACATAAGCAATAATACATATAACACTTTTTTGTGAATTTAACTTCTCATACCATCTTAATTCTAATTACACAAATGCATTTACATAAGTAAAAAACAAACTAACTCATTTGCCAATTTTTTTAGTACAAGCNCTTTCAAAAAAATCGCTAAACAACAAGGATTATGCTTAGCATTCAGAAGATGCTCGTCTTTGTTTAGGCTTCTGCGCAATGAAAAAGACAAACCTAATGAAGACGAGCTACCGGGGTGTACGCTGTCCCCCTCACGGACCATAGATTTAATAGGAAATTGGTCTACATTGGCGCTACTAAACGTGCTATTGGTGTCAGATGGACAGAGCACCAACGGGACATCCTACACAACAGGGGTTCTACATCGTTATCTTTGTATGCTTCGGACCCAGAGATCTCTGCGGACTTCGACAACGCCAAACTCCTTATTACCACATCTTTTACGGACCACCTCCAGTGGTTGGAACAAATGGAAATATGCAAAGCATACAACACATCTGCTCCCATCAATTCGAGGGATGAATTTTCAGAACTACATATTTATACATATAATATATACAGAATTAACAAAATGGAATGAATTAATTTTAAATATTAAGAAATTTATATTTAAACAAATTTTATTTGAAAGCAAAAATCATATTTTGTTTAAAGAAAATTACAATTAAGCATAGTAACAATAAACCTATTGAACATAAACTTATTTATTAACAAATTTCCATATAGTACCAAGATGGCCAAACTGCTGGCAGCTCTTCTAGATCCTATTTAATTAAATATAAGGGAATACATATCCATTATATAAAATAACAGTTCAATATAGAATATGGTTCTCATTTCTGATATACAGTAAGACCCCGCTTAACGATGATTTGATATAATATGATCTCCTCGAAGCCTAAAATAAAGGTCAAAATTTATGCTAATTCAAATTATTGCAGCATTCAATTGAGTTGTATATAATATGATTATTTATGAACACAAACCAATCAGCAAAAGGTGGCAATTTGTCGTAGCACTGTACTTCCCTTAAATCTATGTTTATTTTTTTGCAATTTTGGAAAAAAATATAACATCGTGGATACCGTAGGCAATATCAACTTCACTTGGCAAGAATTAACTGATAAATGCATAAACTGAGTGTGGAAGAAGTGATGGCTGGAGGTATCCAAAAATTCTCAATGAGAAGAGCCTATTGCTGTATTGTTAGGTTGACCAAATTGTAAACCTAATCAATACATCAGGACTAGGAGATGTAGACAAGCAAGATATTGAGGAGTTACTGCAGGTTTATAGTGAAAGCCTTACCAATGACAACCTTCAAGAACTGGCAGAACAAGGAATTCATGTAGAACTGGAAAATAGGGATTCTGAAAATGAAGAACCGAAAAAATTTCTCTACAGGTTTCCTTAGTAAAAATTTGGTAACGATAACTGAAATCATTGATCAAATTGTAGTGAATGATCCAGATTTTGAAAGGAGTGCAAAAGCAAAACAAGGCATTTTGGATGTAATCTTCTGCTACCGACATTTGCTTAATTAATTAATTAATTAATGAAAGAAAAAAATGACAAATGACACTACAAGACTTTATCTTGTAGTGTCATTTGTCATTATATTAATTTGTATAATAATATAATAATATATTATTATACAAATTAATGTAAAAATAATAAAGTAAAATCTGTTTAATATAATCTCTCAACAAACCTTTAACCAGTGGAAAAAAAATATGAGTAATACTACACACAAACGTTTTCGAATCCCTCCCTGGGTCCTTTCTCAAGCAAAGATTAGTCCGTAAAAATTCGTTAGAACGAAGACCAGCAGAACAAAATTCTTCCAAACTGCAACATTCGAAAAACAAATTATTTAGAACCATATTTCAAATATCAAAATTCAAAAAAACCAAGGTGAATCGCGTTCATTCCGGTATTCGTAATCCAAAGTCATTACGTAATGCTCGGTTTTTTTTTATGATTGCATTTTATGCATTTTATAAATTAAATAAAAATAAAAGATCATATCGGCAGGTTTGATGTTTTAATACCCTAATTATTATACGTATTTATTAATGTGAATTGTCATTCTGGAGTAGGGCCTGCCACGCCAGAGACAGGGTAATTTCATCCCTCGAATTGATGGGAGCAGATGTGTTGTATGCTTTGCATATTTCCATTTGTTCCAACCACTGGAGGTGGTCCGTAAAAGATGTGGTAATAAGGAGTTTGGCGTTGTCGAAGTCCGCAGAGATCTCTGGGTCCGAAGCATACAAAGATAACGATGTAGAACCCCTGTTGTGTAGGATGTCCCGTTGGTGCTCTGTCCATCTGACACCAATAGCACGTTTAGTAGCGCCAATGTAGACCAATTTCCTATTAAATCTATGGTCCGTGAGGGGGACAGCGTACACCCCGGTAGCTCGTCTTCATTAGGTTTGTCTTTTTCATTGCGCAGAAGCCTAAACAAAGACGGGCATCTTCTGAATGCTAAGCATAATCCTTGTTGTTTAGCAATTTTTTGAAAGAAGAATGTCAAGAATGGGTTGTAGGTGACTGGGACGATGCGATGGTCTTGTTCCACATTATCACTATTATGTGGAGGAGTAGGTGGGAGACCGATGCTAAATTGTTATGATAATTTATGAATGATGTGGTTGAATCCATGTTGTCTGGCGATCTATGTACATAGCTCAATTCTTGAACTAAAGCCTCCTGTGTAGAACAGTGGGTGTGGGCCCTTTTAACAAGAGCTCTAAACGCCGCCATCTTATATCTGAACAGATCACAGGAGTTCGCTGGAATATACATTGGGAAGTGACATGTCTTGCAGTAAATAGATGTGTATATGGTATCTCCTCCAAATGCAATATTCAAGTCCAGAAAATAGACCGAGGAATTACTACGTTGCTCCAGCTCTATGGCAAGGCCATGCTGATTGTCGTTCATCTGATTCACAAAGAGGGATGTCTGGATCGTGTCTCCATAAAATGATGTTTTTATGGAGACACGACCATATTGTATGATATTTTTATGGAGACACGACCATATTGTATGATATTTTTATGGAGACATCATATTGTACAAGCGATACATCGATGACATCATCATTTTAACCCATTCTTGACATCCTTCTTTCAAAAAAATCGCTAAACAACAAGGATTATGCTTAGCATTCAGAAGATGCTCGTCTTTGTTTAGGCTTCTGCGCAATGAAAAAGACAAACCTAATGAAGACGAGCTACCGGGGTGTACGCTGTCCCCCTCACGGACCATAGATTTAATAGGAAATTGGTCTACATTGGCGCTACTAAACGTGCTATTGGTGTCAGATGGACAGAGCACCAACGGGACATCCTACACAACAGGGGTTCTACATCGTTATCTTTGTATGCTTCGGACCCAGAGATCTCTGCGGACTTCGACAACGCCAAACTCCTTATTACCACATCTTTTACGGACCACCTCCAGTGGTTGGAACAAATGGAAATATGCAAAGCATACAACACATCTGCTCCCATCAATTCGAGGGATGAAATTACCCTGTCTCTGGCGTGGCAGGCCCTACTCCAGAATGACAATTCACATTAATAAATACGTATAATAATTAGGGTATTAAAACATCAAACCTGCCGATATGATCTTTTATTTTTATTTAATTTATAAAATGCATAAAATGCAATCATAAAAAAAAACCGAGCATTACGTAATGACTTTGGATTACGAATACCGGAATGAACGCGATTCACCTTGGTTTTTTTGAATTTTGATATTTGAAATATGGTTCTAAATAATTTGTTTTTCGAATGTTGCAGTTTGGAAGAATTTTGTTCTGCTGGTCTTCGTTCTAACGAATTTTTACGGACTAATCTTTGCTTGAGAAAGGACCCAGGGAGGGATTCGAAAACGTTTGTGTGTAGTATTACTTATATTTTTTTCCCACCAGTTAAAGGTTTGTTGAGAGATTATTTTACATTGATCTGGTGTGTGAAGATTCTTTATAAAATCTGTTTATTTTTGATCATGTGTTCCCCTTTTCCTATTTAACCTATGTTAAAATGACCTCATTTAACACTTTCATTTAGCACTTTGTCGTCTAGGAATGCACTCCCCCCACCATTAAGCAGGGTCTTACTGTACTATATTAAGGGTAGCCAAACTGCTTATCTAAATATTGCATGCTTTAGGATATAACAAATATTTCCCATTTTAATTTCTTTGATCCCAACCTTCTCAAATCAATCTGTAATAATTTAAGGCATAAGATTAAACAATGAAAAAATTTATTGCATTCCTTTTTAATCAGTAATATAGCCCAATCTAATCTGGCAGTTGTTTGGCTTGACTATTTGATTATAATATAATCAAATAGTCAAGCCAAACAACTGCCAGATTAGATCAGGCTATATTATTTCTATTATTAATAATTATGTAGCTTAATCTAACTTGGAAATTGTTTGGTTTTAATACAACTATTAGGCTTACAGATATTTATATTTGTATATATGCTACTGGCAATGTATAAAATGCCTGTTTTTGCACAAAGTATGAAGTATCCAAATTATGTTATTATTATATACACTTTCCCTAAGCATTATATAGAATGACAAATACAAATACAATTTAGGCAAAGTATTAAAAGAGTCATGAAAAGGCTTTTATTGAAAAGATGTAAGAAAATCATGTGGTAAGGCACGTGACTTTCGACGATTGCCTCAGACAGAGAATTTGCCATTTGTATTTCAGTCTTTGTTCAGAAATGACAAAATAAACTACTTTGAATTTGTTCAGCAAAGACTAATCCATACTGTGCTGTATGAGTGTTGAAGTCAACAATTTGATGTCATCAACAACATTCCAACTTTGAGTACGAAGTGCTTAGTTCCCATAATTCCATTCTCAGCAAGATGGAGAAGGGTATCACTTCTTCTGCTGTTATAGCTTATAGCATTTTGCGATATTTTTAATGACAACGCAATGATTTCATTCAAAAGAAAAATGAAACACAAAGATGATGACAACCTGTTTCTACATGTAAATGTAGCAGCTGTGCAAGAAAACAAAGAGAAAGAAGGCTAAAATAATAGGATATGTAGAAGTGATAGTTCCTTTATATTCTATGGAAGATTTTAAATCTCACTTTCATTTGAGTCAATCAACAGTTGAGGTATGTAAAAGTGCTAAAATTATAATTATCTGTTTACTTTGTCAAATATTTTACTGTAATTATTTTCACAAAGGATAGAAGCGTTTAATTTTCAAAAATTTACCTGTTTTGAAACTTTAAAAAAAATTTATATATATATAAAATTTTACCTAAAATATTTCGTTTATGTGTCAAATGAAACAATATTTAAGAAACAATCACCATTTTAAGAAATTTTATTTTTGTTTCAGCATTTGATGCAGATGATTATTTCAGAGCCTACTAAAAGAAAGCCAGCAATGAAAAAAGAAGATTCCATATTATCATCATTATGGTTATTGGCAACCAAGAATCTTTGAGGTGTTGCTGACAGATTTGGCATTGAACAGGGCCATGCCCACAGAGAATTTGTTGCATTCTGTAAGGATATAATGCAAATAGCAGAGAGAGTTATCCAGTGACCTAGAGAAGAAGAAATCGAAAGAACTGTTAAAGAGTTTAATGAAATGAGAGGGTGCAACAGTTTTCCTGGAGTTTTAGCTGTATTGATGGAACTCATATTCCATTTACAGCCCCCAAAAAAGAAAAGGTTGCACATTTCAACAGAAAAAATTTCACTTCAGTCATTCTACAGGCTGTATGTGATGCAAAATTAAAATTTATAGATGTATTTGCTGGTTGGTCAGGCTCATCAAATGATGCCAGAGTTTTCCAAAGAAGTCCTCTCTTTCTAAAGATGAAACATTGTAAGATGATTTCAGAAAATTGTGATAATTTCAGAAATTTGTGAAAATTCAAAAAAAAGTGATAGTGCATATCCATTATCCAAAAAATTAACTCCTTATGGTTACAATGGAAACTTAAAAATTATTTTAAAATATTACAATAAAATTCTTAGTTCAACTAGAATTGTTATTGAACAAGCATTTGGACAATTATTTGGCAGATTTAGAAGGCTAAAACATCTACATATGTTTTGAAGGGATTTGATTCCAGAAGTGAATACTACTGGTTGTGAATTGCATAATTTGTGCATTTTATACAATGATATACCTCCAGATGCTTGTACTATAAATGATAATTTTCAAAACAGTTCTCAGAATTTTGGAAAAGAGTATCAAGATGGAATTAGCAAGAAAGAAAAATAAATAATCTACTTTTATTTTTTTTTCTATTAATACATTAAAATCAAGTTTGTAATTATTATTATTGTCTGGTATTATGTGAATTTTTAATCACAATGATGCCATGTTCATCTGCATTTATAATGTATAATTTAAACAAAATTTATATTAAATGTTTGAACCAGTTTCAGGAATATATTAATCACATATTTAACATTTTGTTATTACTTTTAGTTGTTTGTAATTGTGAATTACATAATTCTAATAACTTTGTTCATTATTGAAAGTGCTTTGATTTTTTGAATAGATGTATATTGATAAATCTTAAATACATTTATGAGTCATCAAAACAGAAAAAATTTTATTAAAATATTCAAATATTTTACATTTTCTTATTTCCTGTCAATTTCAACAAAACATCTGTTAATTGTTTCATCCTTTTAATTTCTCTTCCTCTATTTTTTTTAAAATCATTCCACCATTGTTCTTCTACCTCTGCTTTTCTTTTGTCCTCTATTTCTTTTTTTCAAATAATTTCTAAACCACAATGGTGGTTCATCACCAGTTCTTTCCTTCTTTGGTGGTCTTTCTGTGGATTCTGTTTCCCTTCTGGAATTTGAGGTACTGGAAGCAGAAATTAAATTTTCATATTCATATGACTGAAAATTGTTTTCAGAGGTGCATGGCAGAGAACTTTGAAAATAACTACTGGGGGATTCACATTTGACCTATTTCCATAAACTTCAGGAAATTTATGGAAATACTCCCATTTTATGGAACCACTACTGAACTGTTTTGATCTGTCTACATTTTTTCCTGTAAGTACTGTACATATTAAATTTCGCTACTTAGTATGGCATCCCGTGGACTGAAATATGTACCCACTTTGTTTAAGATAGTCAGGAAATCCTCTGCCATAATTTATATTTTTGCATCAGTTTGAGGAATTCTTCCTCCATTTCTAATCTGGTATTGATTAGTAACAGCAGTGCTTGGCAAGTCCATTCATTAGCTTAAAAATTTTAAAAAAATCTTTATTTTGCATTCTACTATAGTTTGCTATAATTTAATATATTATTTACACAAAATCTTTAACATGATATCTGATATATTATACATAATACTACATACTGTTTTGGTATTGTCAAGAAAACTTTTTTGGACTATTACATTTTAAAAAATTAATAATTATAAACTGTAACAGAATGTTTCATTCATTAATTAAAATAAATATCAAAAAATTAATTTATGAACACTTATTCTAATAAATGTATATTGTCTATATTTAATATAAAGCTGCTATTTATGTTTATTTGTTCAATTTGAATTGCATTAATTAAAAGAAAATCTCAATATATAATAATTACAAACTTACTGTATATTATTATTTAACACTTTGCCACCGAAAGTACTGAATGATCGTTACCCCTCATTGTTAAGCAAAACTTTGAGGGTACCGATTCATCATTATCCTAGTAAAAATCGATTTTTATAAAATTTATCAACAACAGATGTCAGCACTTGACAGCACCATCTTGTCTATCGTCTGTTTTACATATTTTTCTCCAGGTGGTGTTTTGTTGACTTAAAAAATTTTTATTAATGCTTTTTTCTCTTAATTTATTTTTTCTAATAATTTTTTATTTCATTTTTAGCATATTCATGAAATAATATCACTATAATAAGTTCATTTAGCTATAATAAGTCAACGTGTTATAAATACTCAAGTTATGACCTTCAGTTCTGACATTTTATTTTTCTTTTTTATTGGCAATTTTTCTCTTACAAATTTTTCTAATAAAATGCATTGAAAAACATATTTAAAACTAAAAATATTAATAAATGTATGTAATTTTTTTCATATGAATATAATGATAATTTGATTTTTGGTGAATTTTTAAAATAATATCGCCTGACTGACCTATATTGCCTTCGGACAGTTTACAAAATTAACGTAAACAAAATGGTGGTGGCAAAGGGTTAATATATACTTACCAATTCTTTCTGTTTCAGAAAGTTGTAAAGACTGTACTGGTACTAATATTATTTTTAATTGTCTACTTGGACTTAATTTATTAATAGGACATAATCTGGTGTTTAAATATCTGGTGTTTTTTTTTTTTTTTTTAGTTTGTGGTAGTAGTAATGCTGATGAGGGGCATGATAGCCCGAAACACTTGTAATATGTATACAGAAACTATTACTACTATAATAAAGAAATTTTGTTCTTTCCTGAACTAACTCTCATTGCTGTGTCAATATTTAAACACCAGATTATGTCCTATTAATAAATTAAGTCCCAAGTAGACAATTAAAAATAATATTAGAATTAAAAAGGACAGTAAGGCTTTTACAATTACTGTACTGGTACATTTGTTTCCAATCTCTCAGATGTTGAATGTTCTATCATTGAATATATATATGTTACTGTGTGAAAGACCAAAATTAGAGAATGTCGATATTCTCTTATGAATGTCGACACATGGAAAATACGTCAGTGAAAGACTGAATATTTGGTTATATTATTATAAATTCAAACAATCGCCAGTGTATGTCGACAAGCACAGATAAGTTTTGGTAGAGGTCGAAACGACATCCGAGAAACCGATGTCGACAGAGAGGCGACAGCCTGTCCCCAATCCTTTGTGGGTAGCCGGAGGTAAGACAAGGTTGTACCTCTTTTCCCGGCAACGGTTTGGTGGAACCCACCCACTTTGTCACTGGATGGCGTTTTTGTTCTTTTGATCCCGTGAAGTGGGGATCGGTTTGTCAGGTCGAGTGGCGGAGGATGAGAGGGGTCGTCGGTAAGGTAGGCATCGGCGCTATCCAAATAAAAGACACCATTAACAAATCAGTTCGTAATTTGTAAAGAAAAGTTACTTTCCAAGATGAGATTTCTTCAAGAAATATCGCTGAGACAAGCAGCTGCAGCTAATTCGAAAAGTGGAGGGCAAGGCTATACATGCTGTCATTGCAAAAAAGAAGTGTTCCACGAATAAACGCAGTTGTAAAAGCTAGGAACTCTTGTGCAATTCAAACTGCCATAACAGTTTAAGTTGTTGCAATAAATAAGATTGTACAACGTCAATCACATACTTTATTTGTAAGTTTATTATTGTATTATTTTCTTTAATGATTTAGAATGTACTGTTCGTTTTAGGTTCAACAGTTTATTTACATGTGCTGTTACTTAAGCTTTCTCCTATTTTGGCATATTAAAAAGTTGCATTTTTGTCTTAACGTAATAAAAATACTTTTATTCAACATTCACCATCAGTGCATGCTGAACGTCAACATTTGCCAGTGTAAGTGAGAAATAATGATATTTAGCAAATATTTCGTACATACATGAAACGACTGTGTGAATGCTGACATTCACCAGAGAATGTTGACATTCACCAGATATCGGTCATTCACAGTAACATATATATGTAAAAAATGAAATAGAAGAATTTCATTAAAATTTATAAAAACAATAATTATCTATTTGGTTAAATACAACATTCAATTTGTTATTAATATAAAATATGCACAGTACCTGTAGATGCCGAAAGCTTCTGATTCTCAGATTGAAGTTTATATATTTTAGTAAATAATTGTGATCTGACAAAAACAATGAAAAATAAATTTATTGCTTACTTGAAATGATATTCAATTTTTTAAAATCTTACCTTCCGTCATCATTTTTGCTGTTTTTTCATCAATCACAAAGTGATATGTTTTGTTATCGACAGTAACATACATCTCCTGCATTGTCGCCATTTTTCATTCAAATGTCGCTCCAATTACCCATAATTCACTGGAAAGTAGCTGTCAACATATCTGTTGAGTGCTGAGTGTGTTGAGTCAGCATTGACAACAGCACCACTTCAATGTTGAAAAAAAGGAACTACAGTAGAGCATCGATTAACCGAATGTTGATCAACTGAAACGTTGGTTAACCGAAAGCATTCCAGTTGGACTATGTCGTGTTGAATCGAACGTTTTTGATAGTAGATTAACTTCTAAAGTATAATTTTTTTCTTTTTATATTTTTCAATATATTTTGTTTGTACAAAATAAAGAAATAATTTTTAACGATACAGTAACCATGATTATTATTATAAAAATTTTCGTTAGGCTTAACATTGACGAAAATTCAACATAAAGCGACATGTAACGGAGAAAAATTTCAACATGGGATAGATTAATATATTTTTTCATACATAATCGGTTATCCGAAAAATAAGTTATCCGAATAACCCCAGTCTCCAATTGATCTGGATAAACGACGCTCTACTGTACTATTATTGGGATATACTAATATACTACAGATAGCCCTTGGTTTACGCTGGCTCAATTTATGCCGATTCACAATAATGCTGCTGAGCAATTCACCATTTTGCAGTGTAATTCCCCGATTTTCCATATGCCAGACTAATTTTTATTTCAGTGTTGACATATTTACCGAACGGCAACATTGTACATTCATTAAAACAAAGATTTTTATTAAATATATTTATTTTTTCTGTTTAATATTATTCGGTATGTATACATTTGCATTAAATTAATATTAAAATACTAAGCATTTAGGTACCCACAAGTCAAGTTATCAAATTTAATAGTCCAATAAATGGCATCCTAATCCATAGCACCAATGAATGTATCCCTTATCAGTTCATTCAGGAAAACACCTTACAACACAGTAGCACTTCCAGCGATCACAAACTATTGTTAGTGAGACAAATCTACTTCTCGGTGGCCAGACAATATCTCTCCTTAGCCACCTTGAATTTTCCTGCTCAAACTGATCTTATATATGCGCTACAGCGACCGGTGGTTGACCAATCAGTGTCTCCGCTCATCTGTAGCTCTACGTCAGGTTAACGTATCCTTTCAACTATGGAAAGTTTGATAGATGAACTTTGTGAGTTAGACAATGATTGGGAGCGAAGTGCAAATGTAAAAAGGAGCATCATGGCATCCTTTCAACCATATTCCGAAATTCTCAATGGAAGAAAACAAAAATGTAAACAATTAAAGATGGATACTTTTTCCAAAAAATATAAGAGATCTGAAATTAAAATTTTTTAATAAAAACATTTCACTTTATTTTATGATAAAATACATTTTAAAAATTAAATTTATATGTATTTTGTATAAAATTATATTAATAAACAAAATTATCTTTCACATAAGTGAAAAATAAGCNGAAGAATGAAATTTGAAATATATTAATAAACAAAATTATCTTTCACATAAGTGAAAAATAAGCATATAACCTAACCTATACCTCACTGTAAATATGGGTTCATTTTACACCAATTTGATTTGCACCGGCTTTTGTAGGAATGGACCTGCGGCGTAAACCGAGGGCTACCTGTATATTAATAATGTATTTTTTTTCATACATAATAGGTTATCTAAAAAATCAATTTTTCGAACAATCCCAGTCCCCAATTGATTCAGATAATGAATGCTCTACTGTACTTTTAACAAACATTAAGATCAGCACTGAGTCAGCATTGAAAATTGGAATGTCCCAAATGGCAAACAAATACATTTTAGAGACATGAACAAAAGATGAAGTGCAAGCAGTTGTCTGCTACAAATGGGACATCATAAATGAAAATTCACAAAGAAATTCACACAGTTCATTGAGGATCCAGTTAAAACATCAGAGCAAATGATGATGTGACAATGACGCCAGTAGCTTCATGACTGGCATAAGTATGTGGCAGACAAATAGCAACTGATCTTGTGTCCCACAACTTTTTCACTTACTTCCAACTTTGTAAAAGGCACTGTCTGGACACCATTACATGAGCAATTATGACATTTGCATCTTTGCTGCTCAGCAAGAAACAGTTATATGCAAGCAACTTTACCAAAATAGTGAAGTAATATAGTAAGTGTTTAAATATTGACAAACTATGTAAAGAAGTAGAATAGGTGTAGCTCTTTCCATTGATAATTTATTTGCTTTTCTGATTAATAAATTCTGTCAGTAAAAGACTTGAAACTTATTTTCAGACTGATCCTCATACTAATGAACTTTTCATATAAGACAACGGTTCCCAACCTTTTTCGGGTGGCGACCCCTTTTTGTAAAAGCCAAGTGTCCCGCGACCCCGATACAACTGAAAAAGGCATTTTTAATAAGGTAATTAAAAAAACAACGAAATTAGTTTTTTTACTATAATTTTATTTAAAATTGTTTAATACTGTAATTTAATGCGATGGTTGAAATTGCATGTTATTAACCAGTTTCAAAATTCGCAGGAGTTTTTGTTAACGCCAATCTCACGTCATTCTCAACATTTAATTTATTTCTCTCAAACTCTCAACACATGTTTCAACCAACTGTGACAGAATAGAGTACCTAGATTACACTTATTTTAATTTTTAAAAAAAATATATGAAATTATTCAAACTTCAAGACACCATTAAAAATAAAAATTGCATTATAGTGAATATTTTTTTTAGTTTACTGTATAAGTTGGCGACCCCACAGAAAACCCGTCGCGACCCCCTTCTGGGTCGCAACCCATAGGTTGGGAACCCGTGATATAAGAGATTTGATTTTTCTTTAGCCATATTGTCTGCTACATAAGTTAAATATATTTCTTTAAATCATCATCAATAATGTAAGATAATAATTGACTAAGAATAATTCTTTACATATTTATAGGTCAGAAAATATATTCTTCTGACCTATAAGTGTATACAGTGATATTTTTAATCAATTATAGACTATTGAGCTATACAAGTTAGTAAAATAATAAATAAAAACAAAATCAAATTAGAATTACATAAAAATTGATATTTTTTATATCTACATAATAATGAAACATCAATATAATTAGATTAAAAATATATACTCAGGATATCCTTTCCATTTAAGAAGATATTCTATTCTTCCCTGCCTCACTCTCTTATCTAAAATTTTTTCAACTGTATATTCTTCAGGTTCAACAGCATCTTGTTGAGCTGAATCTTTTTGTCCTTTTTTTTTACCCATATTATTCTGTAATAGAAATTAAATATATAAGGTGAAATCAATCAATCTGGAACTTACAACCAAATTAATAAGATAAAAAACAAACACCACCACTTACTAATAATAAAAATATAAAAACTGTCTATTGGAGTTACTGGTAAATAAATTTAATGAGTATGAGCACTTTTTGACAGTATAAAACTGTCTTCTCTGAGTAATATGGCAGATGGAATGTTACAAATCTAGAGATAAAACACATTTTCAAATTGCTCTTCATGCATGAGCATGGAACAAAAATTTTAAAATACAAAAAACTATATGCCATTACAAAAAAAATGTAATATACAATGGTAATGGTTAACAAAAATAACAAAATTAATATACACAGAAATAATAAATAAGAATATAAAGAAAATTTAAACAAAATGTAAACACTAAAGCCTCCTTGTCATCAGTATGTTCTTGTCATGTAACTGCATGATCTACAATTTTAGCAAGTTGAACAGTGCAACCCACAGCTCTGGAATATCAAGTGTAGGAGAGTTGCATGGGAACATTGATGTAATAAACAAAAACTCCCAAATGAACAAGATTCTCCTAGCCCCACGGTGTTTTACTAGCAAAACTTGTGATCAAAGTTATATTTCATCACTTTTTTGGATAGCTCTTGTTGACAATCTTCAACACACAAATCTGCTTGGCCCCTTCATCCTTTGGTGAACAAATGTTCCCATACAACCTATTTTTGATATCAATGTCCAAGAAATGCACCTTTGATTGCTATGTTGCTCTATTTCTAACAATAGCCTGAATGTATTGTTGTTCATGGCTTCTAGGAAAAGTTTTAGTGCCGGTTCCACCTTCCAGAATATGATGATGTCATCAATGTAACATTTATACAATAAGATAGTGGGTAAAAAACACAGTAGAACATTGTTAGTATTTTGATCATCATTTCACACAAATAGCCTGATATGGGACTCCTCCATCGGGACTCCTTTACCTTGCATGTAAGTGATCCCATTAAATTGGAAAAAAGGGAGCTATAGCACAATAAATATGCCAGTTCAAGAGCCTACTGGTGCATTGTGGTGTCTTCAATTATTGAAAATAGGGAGTCCCTGAGTTCACAGAAACATGGTGAAAGTTCAATCGAAGGATATAACAATTGGAAGTCTAAGACTGTAGCATAAGCTGGATGTGCTATCTTCTTCAGTTGTTCTATAAGTTCTGTTGGGTTGGATGCATTGAATTGGTATCTCTCTAGATGAGGGATGAATAATTTGTGCATGATATCTTCTAAAATACAAGTGGGGGTCTTAGTTTTGTCCACCACTGGTCTTAGTTACAGTCGACCCCCCTATAACATACGTTCCTATAACGACAATTCCTATAATGTAGCGAAAAAATTGTAGAAACCTTCGTATAAAGTACCTCCTATAAGTTGAAAAATAAACTACACTGATATAAATCCAGCAAAATTTAATAAAATAAAAACGTTTTCAATCGTTTTTCAACGATCATCTTCAGTTACTAAAAATAGAACATTAAATATAGAACATAAAATGCGTTCGAAATAAATACAAAAATAAAAATTAACGAAAAACGCCCTAGTGGACAAACTAATGAAAAATTAACAAATAAATAATGAAAAATTAATAATTGTAAAAGGATCTCCACGCAGTGGACAATAAGTCGGCGTCCCTATGGTTTATACAACCGGTTTTCATGTGCGCTTTATACATTTCTAATTTCTCTAGATGTTTGATCGTTTGCCGATTAGTTGTTGTTTTTATAATTGATGCCTGATCCCATAGCACATTTATATCTTGTTGTTTTGCGTACGATGCTAACACAGTGTTATCATGGTTCTTTTTGGTTGTGTACGTTGATAACACTGTGTTAGCATCGTACGCAAAACAACAAGATATAAATGTGCTATGGGATCAGGCATCAATTATAAAAACAACAACTAATCGGCAAACGATCAAACATCTAGAGAAATTAGAAATCTATAAAGCGCACATGAAAAACGGTTGTATAAACCATAGGGACGCCGATTCATTGTCCACTGCGTGGAGATCCTTTTACAATTATTAATTTTTCACTATTTATTTGTTAATTTTTCATTAGTTTGTCCACTAGGGCGTTTTTCGTTAATTTTTATTTTTGTATTTATTTCGAACGCATTTTATGTTCTATATTTAATGTTCTATTTTTAGTAACTGAAGATGATCGTTGAAAAACTATTGAAAACGTTTTTATTTTATTAAATTTTGCTGGATTTATATCGGTGTAGTATATTTTTAAAACTTATTCTACTTCCAGTACATATTGATTATGTACCTCCTATAACGTCGTTTCGCGACAAGATTGATAGAGTCTGGACCAATAGTGGATGAGCAGCCGAACTACTTACCTCCGACCCTGTGCCACGCTACGGAGCGGCTAAATTGAGTTTGCTATCGTCTGTTTAGTATTATATATAAATTAGGTACTGTACATATAATTATATATTAATTATATATAAATTAGGTACTGTATATAATTAATAATATTAACTTAATTTATTGTAACTTTATTATAATTATATATATGCTTTCTGCCGCCTGGCAACACGCTACGGAGATTTTAGGCTAGTAAGTTGAGTTTATTATCGTCTGTACAGTATGTAAATTAGGTACCGTAAGTCTAATACAGCACTAATTTTATACATTTCTTGTGAAAGAAACACTTCTTATTCAACGGCCATAAAAATTATTTATATTAATGATGTCTCCAAAGGTCAAGTTATTTTTCTGCGAAAAATTATTTATCAGAAATCGCGGCCGCCGTTTCGTGTGCTGTTCCGCGACGAAGACAAGCTTTGAACAACGGGCGTAGTCGAACGGTACACACTCGGTAAGTAATCCTATAATTTTTTGTTTATAGCATAGTTTATACGGATTACTCCCAAAAAATTATATGTGTTTTGGAAATGTTGAGTCGAATTAGTCTAGAATCAGTTAATTTTATAGAAGAAAACCTTTCGAACAGCCTTAGTCCGTAAAGTTCCCACCTATCGGGCTGCGATTGGATCATGTATTTAATCATTCCTATAACGTAAAATTCGATTAGCGTGGAACGTATCTAAGCATTATAGGGGGGTCTACTGTATTGTGTTTTTTTATGTGTTTTTGCGAATGCAAATAACCGTGGTATTTCAGGAGCATTCACTATTGTTTCTCATATTCATTTTTTTGGCTAGTTTCGTGTTAGCAAAACATTTGACCCTTGATTGTAATTTATTGATATATGTGGAGGAAATATTAATTTAACAAGTCAGGAAAAAACCCTTATATATGACATTTTAGCACATATTTGAACATTGTCAGTCTAATCTACTATTGTCAAGTTTTTTCTTCATAAAGTTCTTTATATAATGCAGACAAGTTCAACATATACAAAAATAATCTTTTTATCTATTTTGTCAATCCATTAATTTGTTCAAATTCTGCATATCTACTACAAATGCATTCAGCAATGTCCCAAATAGTCCAAATTATGGGAGAAAATGTCAAACCATTAGTTAACACTTACCGTGCTACGAATGTAAAGATACATTTTTCGCATTCCTTTGCAAAAAACGAAAAACGTAGTATTACGTTTTTCGAAATATCTTGTTATCTTCGCTTTTAAAATGTATCATTACATGTGCAGCAAAACGTGAAAAGATTATTTGTGTTTATTAGTTACTATTTTGACCATTAGAGGGCATATCAATTTCAAAAATTCAAACGAAAAGTTCGTTTTTAAGATTACTTTTACAGTTCGATTTCGAGTTTGGTTCTCGTTACAATTGTTATACTTCGGATTTTTTATTTTGTTTATTTTATTATTTTTTCTTAAAAAGTAATTAGCGATGTATTCTTAAATTAGCAATGTTTCCTTAGTAAATATGACATATAATATAAGCATTATAATGTTTTTCAATTTTTTTTACGTTGTGTCTATTTGCAAAACATGCCCAAATAAAATTGCAATACAATTAATTAAAATATTGCACACATACATCAAAATTGAGTGTAATATAAAGAAATGTTCAACAAATCAGAATCTGTTTACACTTTTTATCTAGCTTCAGTGGAACATTTTCTATCTTCAGTAGAAAATATAGTAAAATTAGAAACATCAGCCAGCACACAGGTAAAAAACTAAATCAACTGGACCAGCATGGTAAGTGTTAACATTTATACTCTGCAATTATTATCATCTTGCAAAACAACCATATCATCATCTTTCAACTTTACAAAACATTAAAGCCTTAAATAAACTGAATTCTATCCAGTATAAACTTCTTGTATTAATTTCAGTATAACATGACCATTTTCTTTTTGTTGTTTTTCAAGTTTACTAGCAATGCTATTATTTTTTATGAAAAACAATTGCTTTTTCTCAAGAATTTTACAAAAATCAGGCACATTTGCAACTGTCTCTTTAACAAGCAGAGAATGTGCAAAACAATTACTTTGATTCTCTTTTCCAAGCAATAACTCAATAGCTTTTGTTGAATTTACAGCATAATCAGATAAGCAATAATTTTACTTTTTGCAATACCCCAAAAACTAAAATTTCCTCCATTTTGTCTTTTATATACTTAGCAGTGAGACTGTCTTCTATTCTTTTTTTTTTTAAATCCATAAGACCAATTCTTTAAATCAGAAATATAATGGAAAGTCGTTCCAAAGTAAAATATGCTATTCATTAAATCTGTCCATACATATCACTTGTGGCTACACAGAATTTTGTAAATTTAAACTGACTTAAACAGATTATCATTTTGTCAAAAAACAAAACCATATATAGTAGTTGAGAGATATTCTCAACTGCTGATAGATGGAAAACAACAAACTGTGGCACAACATTCTTCTTAATACAAATAAAGCCTTGATCACTGACAAGTGGGAACAAGCTTTTCCTCAGTTTTTCATCTTTACTTTCATCTAAATATAACATGTAATGGATCTCTCAGGATTTTTCCATGGTGTGGTGCTAATTGTTGTTGGTGCAAAGGACAAAGTTGTTGGCACAAAAGTCAAAGTGAATTGTTGGACCTACAGTCTATGGCAGGGGTGGCCAACCTTTTGCATACCATGCGCCAATTTTTTGACAGACGAGTTCAGATGCGCCATATAACTCGAACACTTTTTATACAGTCTTACGTTCAGATAAATACAGATAAGAATAAATCTGCTTCCCTTAGGAAAGAAATGGGAATAACTTAATCACGCAGTTGAATTAATTAATTTATGACAGTTTATTGAAGCACCAATTTACAATTGTCAACAATGATCTCCTGTACGAGAGGGCGATGGTGCTATTGCTGCCAGAGTCTCGTTTGGTGAAGATTACTCTGCACCACAATTATTGACACTGAGAATGAGATCAGCTTGGAATAACTTTAATCACAATAAATGTTTTCGGCCATTTACACGCCTGTAAACTGATCAGAAATAAAGATTGCAAGACTCAAAATACATGCATACATTGTAATTTACTATGTGGAAAACACTCATTTTATCTGCAAAATAGACCGTAACAAATTGTGCAACAAATGTACTTGCCAAGACAGACTATAAAAATTTATTGTTTTATAGTCTGTCTTGGCAAGTACATTTGTTGCACAATTTGTTACGGTCTATTTTGCAGATAAAATGAGTGTTTTCCACATAGTAAATTACAATGTATGCATGTATTTTGAGTCTTGCAATCTTTATTTCTGATCAGTTTACAGGCGTGTAAATGGCCGAAAACATTTTGCAAAAAACTTAATCGCAAAAAAGTCAAATCTGGCAATTTTGCTCAGAACTAACTGAAGTGCCACTTGTAATCGTCCAATGCACCACGTTTTGGCCACCCCTGGTCTATGGGCTAGAGAGAGATTGGCAATATATTTGTAAAATTGTTCTGACTGTGTTGTAAGTTCAGACAAAATGAAAGAACATCAATAAAGTGTTGTTATAAACATAATAATAAATTACAAATAAAATTATGCTTAAATTCAAAATAAGAAAACTACCAAACTCAATATCCAGTTAAAAGAACAAAATCATTTTCAACCTTTAAAAAGATCATCCTCAGGTTCTACTGGTAGAATGCAAATTGAACAAGTTAAATTTAAAAATGTTTGTTGTGCAACTGGATATTGGGTTTGGAAATGTTCTTATATTGCATACATCCGGTTTGAGGTAGTGTTTCTACTTAAATTCAAAACTACTTTCAGAAATAACAATAAAAATAATATTACCATGCTGGTGTCAAATATAGTTTGAAAAATATTAGGAATTATTGAAACAGAGCCAAAAGAACTTGTTCCAGTAACAAACAAATGATTACATGTTGCAGCTTAATGTAATTCAGAGATGTCATCCTCACAATGAAAAAAGCATAGACATCAGTATTGTATTGAATAGACTCCCTTTGTTGTATTCACATCCTTTCTTCACTGTTGATGACAGTAATTTACCACAAATGCTTTTAACATAAATAAGTAAAATTAATGGTATTTTCACTTATGAATTTCTTGAAGCAAAAAAAGAACATTTTGAAGTTTTTCCATTTTCTTTAGTGCAATATTTCCACAAATCAGACTGGGATCTACATTTCTAGAATTATTTGCCAATTTGAGAGAGTTGGCCAATCTCTAGCACAGATTAACAGACACTTAAAAAGCATAGCACCATCACTGGTAGTAACAGGCAGAACCATTCATTTCTTTCAGGAGTTCATTCAGTGAGGATTGCTGATGATAATATTTGATTAGCTTACATATAATATACTTTTATTACTAGTAAATAAGTTTTCAAGTATATAAGGTAAGTACATATTTTCTGTTAATAGGCTATAAGTAGAAGATACTGTTAATACAAATGATATTAATTTTGTAAAGTACTATTTTATTTTTCCGACTTTTCCAACGATTATTGACACTACTGTGTGCCGGAAATAGCCGTTCCCTAATGGGTACTTTACGCGGATTTGCGTTAGTGTGCCAGGCCTGGACTTTAAGCGTGCACCGAATTAAATAATGACAAAGTTTGTCAATAACAAAAATCAAATATTTAATTAAACTTCTATTAAAAAAACTCTATACAGTATTTAGTAAAAATCAAACAATAATTTATTCAATGAAATTCAACAAGAATCAACCCGACAAAACTCAAATCAATCTATTTCTAACTTAATTCTATTCCCCTTTGGAATTTGACAAAAATCAAAGACTTAACTTATAAACAATAATTCTTATAAATTAAAGATCCTAATCGTCACCTCAATATACTAGGAACCTATTTCCTCAAACTCTCAAGACTTTCTATAATCGTCGATCCACAAATCAAATAACTTCAAAATCGCCTTGGAACTATTTGATCCTATCGGACACCTCTCTCGTTCACTGCTACAAAGCTCACCAAAGCTCGTTGCTATCAGGAGTTCACCTCGTTCATTTTCACTTGAGACTCGGGATTTATAGTGCGAAGTGACGTCACAATTCTGAATGAGATCACTCCCCTCATTTACATACTTAACGCTAACAATAAACTTTTTTCATTTGTCTGGCAGCCTATTTTCTGATAATACTCGCTAACCTTTTACATTATTCTTTTTCACAATTTTCGGGACGTTTTTATTTTTTAAGATTTAGCGAGTCCCTAATTCATGCTTGTGGGGTCTCCCCCCTTTTCTCGGTGCGGACTTACTTTTTTTCGCTCGGGAAGCGCAAGTATGCGCGAGTTTTTCTACGGCGCTTTTCTTTCGTCGGTGAGTTGGTTTTTCTTCTATTTTTAAGTTCCTAAGGTGAATGGTGAGGAAACCTTCGTCCTAACAAAACATAAGCCCCAAACAAAAATAGAATGATAAGCAAAATAAAAGTAAATAAAAATAATGCTCGGACTTGGTTCCTTACAATTTCAACTTTTATAATACACTAGAATGGTTCAACAGACCACAACAGATAAATAATTAAACCATTTCAAATTTACATTACTAAATAAAACTTATATCTTATAAGTTAGAGAGCTTTCTGTGTTTAGACACAAAATCTGATATTAATCAAATTTAATGATTTTATAATCGGACTTAATTCACATGGTCATGATCTAACAAGTGGTAACTGATGAAATCCACAATCTTGATTTAGAAGTGCCCTTTCAAAATTTTATAATAAACTTTTATTATTCAAAATTAAAACACACAGTATATTGAAGATATCAAGATTTGATAAAATTAAATTACATAATTATAATTGAATTTTGATACTTTACAATTAATAACAGAAATGAACAAAACTTAATCTAACACCTTGTAAACGTGCAGCCAATTTTATTAACTTCCTAACGTTTTTGGCCATGTTAAATGACCTTTATCAAGAAAAAACTTAAAAATTTGAAAACAGTACATTTGCATAAACGAGTAGGCTTTTTGAACATTTTTGAATGATATTCTATTGAACATTAGGTGCGTCATCTTTATCAATAGCTAACATTAAAACATAAAGATAAAATAAAAAGCATAAAAATAGAATGAAATCAGGACCAAAAAGAGAAAATAACCACAAACATTAAAAAGAAATTCAAGACACCTGAAATATAACATAATGTAACAAGGGCATATAATAATGTAAAAAGCATTAGAGCTGCCTGTTTCTTAAAAATGCATTTTCTACTGTATCTGTTTCCTCTGTTTATTAGGGTTTATATCAAGCTTGAATGCCATGCCGCCGATACTTTAGTTGCTTCTCGAAAGTTGATGGAGAGACCTTTTTGATTGGCTTTGCAGATCTTCCAGGCTTCCACGTAACGACGGTGCTTAATGTCCCGAACTACTTGTATTAGTCTTGCTTGGTCCCATTCGTCTTTGACTTCTTGGGGGTCGGCTAAAACGTAAGTGGCCAGTGCTGTGCATGGTTGTTCACTTCTTATGTTTCTTTGGTGTTAAGCTATCTTATCCTCGATAGATCATCCAGTGGCTCCAATATACATTAATTTATTTTGTTGCCGTGTGTCCGTAATGGGGATTTTATAAACTCCAGGAACTCCAGAAATGGACACACATTGACAAAATAAATTAATGTATATTGGAGCCACTGGATGATCTATCGAGGATAGGATAGCTGAACACCAAAGAAACATAAGAAGTGAACAACCATGCACAGCATTGGCCACTTACGTTTTAGCCGACCCCCAAGAAGTCAAAGCCGAATGGGACCAAGCAAGACTAATACAAGTAGTTTGGGACATTAAGCACCGTCGTTACGTGGAAGCCTGGCAGATCTGCAAAGCCAATCAAAAAGGTCTCTCCATCAACTTTCGAGAAGCAACTAAAGTGTCGGCGGCATGGCGTTCAAGCTTGATATAAACCCTAATAAACAGAGGAAACGGATACAGTAGAAAATGCATTTTTAAGAAACAGACAGCTCTAATGCTTTTTACATTATTATATGCCCTTGTTACATTATGTTATATTTCAGGTGTCTTGAATTTCTTTTTAATGTTTGTGGTTATTTTCTCTTTATGGTCCTGATTTCATTCTATTTTTATGCTTTTTATTTTATCTTTATGTTTTAATATTAGCTATTGATAAAGATGACGCACCTAATGTTCAATAGAATATCATTCAAAAATGTTCAAAAAGCCTACTTGTTTATGCAAATGTACTGTTTTCAAATTTTTAAGTTTTTTCTTGATAAAGGTCATTTAACATGGCCAAAAACGTTAGGAGGTTAATAAAATTGGCTGCACGTTTACCAGGTGTTAGATTAAGTTTTGTTTATTGAGTAATATGCAGGCTCGGATGAATAACAAAAATGAATGAATTAAAGATATTTAGTTTTATAAAAGTTAAAGTCAATATCACTAGTATTAACAGTATCTTCTATTTAATTTATAAAAGAAAACAACCCACAAATCTTAAATTAAAAAGAAACTAGTGCAAAAGCCTTTTGTTAAAATTCAAAGAAAATATGGTTACACACCTCGACTGTGGCAGCTGTGCCTACCTGCCATATATGGCTCTGCAAGTGAAAAGAACTTTTTAGTGAGTTTTTAAGCTTAGCATCTCTAGATTGAAATAGGCTTGAAGTTACTGGTGAGGCACATGACGCGGTCTAGTCTCCCATGGTTGACCAGTGCATCATAGCATATGACATATGATGTCACAGCAATGACGCGACAGTTACTTGCTATTTTCTTCGTAACACATTGTTCTTTTTTTATTTTATTGAAGAGCATCATGGCCAGGGGCCACGAAAAATCACATCAGGGCTGTCAGTTTGACTCCTCTACTTTACACAGTAAGAACATCTATTCAATTTTAATATTAAAATCAGATAGTTATATAGTGTATAAATGAAATATATCAACATATTTAGTATATAAATAAAAATTTTTAGCCTTGACAACTGCCATAGTTCAAATACTATTGTCCCATGTGATCTTTATGACGACATTGCCAAATGGCCTTCCTATTGGTCTAATTTTTACTATTCTGCTTTCTGCAATGGCAGAAGTTGAAAATTTTCAACTTCATATTCTGTCACCTTCAACTATAAAAGTGGCATCATTTTGCCATTCTGTTGACAGTTTCCATCGTCCATTTCCACATGTGAGTACCAGGCTTTATACAAGCACTTCACATGTAAGAACATAATTCAATTAACAACTTAACTTCAAAAGTATACATTTTTGAAGTCAGTTATAACCAGACTAATTTTCATAACATATATATAATAAATTTGGTAGAATCATATCGGCACTCAGCACAACACCACTGAAAGATTGCCAACCCCTATTCTAGAACTATCCTACTCAACACTCCTGTGGATACAACCTCTGGCTCTTTCAAAAGCTCCAAGTATTTACATCAAATTGCAATCTAAATGTGAGCTATCTCTCTCTCATGACAACTAACAGTGTTTAACTAATTGTTTATTCATTGTAGATTGTTTGTGAAGAAAAAATACAAGCTAACGGGTATTTGTTTGTTTAACTGGTATCCAAGTGATTCACTTCCATCTCACTGTCTATCTGACCTCCTCCATCTGAAATCTGATTGCCTATGCATGCAATCACATGTGTAACTAAAGTAGAATGAAAATAAACAGCCATTGCAGCTTCTGTTCTGTTCACCAGGACACAGTGGTGTCATCCCGGTGAGGTCACCAACAACTGACCCTCTGGTCACATGTATGTTTAATGATAAAGTTATTTATTTAGCTGGATACATGCATGGCTGGTTACACATTCTCTTCTTAAATTTTTATCATGTGAAAATGAATGTAACTGGAACAGTTGAATACATGGACAAAAGGGTTGTTGTTAAACTAAGCAGTGCTTCTAAGCGATGCTGCTGAGAATGTTGTTAAACTTGTTTTCTTGAAGCGCTGCACACAGCGAACTTCTCAGCAATTTCACTGGTTCTGGGTTAAATCTGCAGTGATCGAATGAGGTGCTTTTTCTGCTTTAACAAAATAACAGTGACCACAGTGGACGAGAACTTAAACATTAAATTAAAAATTGATTCTTCAATAAAATGTCATTTAGAAAATGGTAAGTTATTGTTTTCATAACGCTTTATTAATTACACAAAATAAACTCGAAATTCGCACAAATTATATATTAAAGTTTGTGTAAAAAAGACTAACAGCATATCTTTTACATAATTGGTTTGATAAATTACAACATTATACAAAATAATACAGTAGACCCCCTATAACGCTTAGATACGTTCCACGCTAACCGAATTTTATGTTGTAGGAACGATTAAATACATGAGCCAATCGCAGCCCGATAGGTGGGAACTTTACGGACTAAGGCTGTTCGAAAGGTTTTCTTCTATAAAATTAACCGATTCTAGACTAATTCGACTCAACATTTCCAAAACACGTATAATTTTTTGGGAGTAATCCGTATAAACTATGCTATAAACAAAAAATTATAGGATTACTTACCGAGTGTGTACCGTTCGACTACGCCCGTTGTTCAAAGCTTGTCTTCGTCGCGGAACAGCACACGAAACGGCGGCCGCGATATCTGATAAATAATTTATCGCAGAAAGATAACTTGACCTTTGGAGACATCATTAATATAAATAATTTTTATGGCCGTTGAATAAGAAGTGTTTCTTTCACAAGAAATGTATAAAATTAGTGCTGTATTAGACTTACGGTACCTAATTTACATACTGTGCAGACGATAATAAACTCAACTTACTAGCCTAAAATCTCCGTAGCGTGTTGCCAGGCGGCAGAAAGCATATATATAATTATAATAAAGTTACAATAAATTAAGTTAATATATAATTATATATACAGTACCTAATTTATATATAATTAATATATAATTGTATGTACAGTACTTAATTTATACATAATTTATATACAATACTAAACAGACAATAGCAAACTCAATTTAGCCGCTCCGTAGCGTGGCGCAGGGTCGGAGGTAAGTAGTTCGGCTGCTCATCCACTATTGGTCCAGACTCTATCAATCTTCTCGCGAAATGACGTTATAGGAGGTACGTTATACGAAAGTTTCTACAGTTTTTTCGCTACGTTATAGGAATTGTCGTTATAGGAACGTACGTTATAGGGGGTCGACTGTAATTATCTTTCTATGCAATATTATAGGCTAATACACTAAAAGTAATTCCAATGTGACATTATTAAGGATTGCTGTAAACTAAGCTATATCTTTAGCAAATTGCTATGAATGGTATAAATAAAGGTTTACATATTGTTTAATTTATAGGACTTTATACACGTGTATTTTCCAAAAAAGAAAGAAAGAAAAAAAAAATTCATTTTAGATTTATAGTCCCTCATCAGTTGGAACATAATACAGTCAACCCCCTATAACACGGGTTCCTATAATTCGGATTCATATATGACATCAAAAAAATTGCGACGGTATCCGTACAAACATGGTAAAAAACTCCTATAATTCGATAAAACATCATCGGGCAGCCAAACTACTTTCCGCCGTCCAGCGCCACGCTACGGAGAGTTTAGACGGGTAAATTGAGTTTACCATTGTCTGTATAGTATTATATATAAATTAGGTACTGTACATATAATTATATATAAATTAGGTACTGTAAGTCTAATACAGCACTGTAATTTTATAATTTTTACATTATCTACAATTTTGTCTTTAGTTATCACGATCCCTGCCATGAAGAAGAATTCTAAGAAGAGCAGAAGATATATATCCCTTGAAGACAAACTTAAAATATTGGATCGGTTAAAATCTGGTGAGAAAACAATAGTCATTGCTAAAGATTTAAAGTTACAGGCGGCAACAATTCGAGCAATAAGAAGAAATGAAACCAAAATAAGGGCTAGAATTTCCTCTGGATCATTAGTAAGTTTGAATAAAACTGCTCGTATAAAGGACACTTTAATTCCTAAAATGGAAAAGTATTTGATGTTATGGATAGAAGATTGCTTTTCAAGGAATTTTCCTTTGAATACCAATGTGATACAGGAAAAGGCAATAAAGATTTACCGGCGTGTAAGAGCGCTTGAATGCGTTTCTTTTAATGAATCATGTCAACACGAATTTAAAGCCAGTAAAGGGTGGTTTAACAGATTTATGAATCGATTTTCCTTGCGCAATGTCAAAATT